TTGTTTGGAAAACTCTTCTTGATTTAGGAATTTTTAGATATTTAGACTAGAAACAGGACAAAAAATCTAAGCAAGAAAAGCATTTTTTGCAGTGTAGTGCAGAATTTATCTCTGAAATGTTTCCTTTTAAAGATTCAGAGCTCACCAAAATCTCCTCTATATTGGACATTTTTAGGGATATTGACCTCTCTCCAAAAATGTTTTAAAAAAAATTAAAAACTGCTTGTATTCTAGCCGAAATATAACAAATGAGACTTTCTCCAGAAGAAAAAATATTATCAGACATACTGTGAACATTTCCTGAATCTGTTCAACATCATTTGGGAAATATTTAAAAAAGAAAAAAAAATCAAAAGGGGGCGAATAATTCTGACTTCAACTGTATATATAAATCACACACACACACACACACACGCACACACACACACACACACACACACACACACACACACACACACACACACCTTTATGTGCCTTTTTTAGACCCTGCACATACAATAAATGCAGCTTTTGTTTTTCTGAGAGTGCCTGGAATTACACACGGAGACATTCTGTAGCGTCTGCATAATCATGTCCAGCATTAGTGATGTAGTTGTCTCTGCCATGCAGTTTATCTGTTATGATGACATATACATCAGTGCAGTGCTGTAACATGATTCATGTATCCATGCGTGTGTTTGCATGTCTGAAAAGCCTCCTCACAGGCTGCGGTCTCCAGAAACGCAGGAGCCGATGAATGAGCACACACTTATTTTTCATTGTCACCCTGAATCAGGGATGCTCATCTTGTCTGAAGACTTCTTGATCTGCGAATGCTTAACATCCAATTACAGAGCACTAAATGAATGTGGGGTAGAGTTAACTTCTGCGCCGGCTCTCGCTTTAGGTTCCCCCCGCAAGGGTATTTTATTTCGGGAGACAGTCGGCTAAGAAGATTATAAGAGCAGTTTTCAATTTATCTGCCTCCCCCAGACTCTACTTATTGACTGACTGTTTCCTTATCGCTGTTTAGCAGAATCCACTGAATGACTGGCATCGTCATCCCAATCTGACGCTGTGTGTTTTTTTAATACAGAGTAAAGCAGTTCGGGCCTTTTTCAACTCTTCAAAAAACTCATCTGCATTGTTTCAGCTCAGCTCTGATCTCTGAATGGCTGTAAATATTCAGGTCAGGGATGTTTCGTGTGGACAAAGGTAACAGTGCTGTTCATTTTTATGCACACCTTTAATATTGTGCTTGATTTAATTAGAAGCATGTATGCCAGTATCCACACCGCAAAAGCTCGCTTGTTTGTAAATATCTACAAATTCTAGGCAAGCAAAACGTATTGTCATGTTTTAAAGAATAATGTGACAAAATTAAGTGAATTAAGCTAAAACAAGCAAAATAATCTGTGAATGGGGGAAGAAAAATAATCTTGTTTTTTGTTTTGACATAAGCTTGTTTTGCTGACCCCAATGGGAGATCGTTTTTCTTGTTTTAATGATAAACTCATTCAATTTTGACTCATTATTTTTTAAAAGCAACACAATATTTTGTGCTTGTCTAGAAAATGCTTCTTGATTTAAAAATGTATAGATATTTGCACTTGAAACAAGACTAAAAATCAAAGTAAGAAAAGCATTTCTGCAGTGAATTATCAGTGTTTTATGCAATAAAAGGAAAGCAATGTTTTTATCTTTGTTATTTATTCCTAAAACGTGGTTTATATTGCATTTATTTTTAAAATGGGTAGATTTGAGACCCCGGACCACAAAATCAGACTCAAGTCACATGGGTATACCAAGATAATAGGCAAAATAATACATTTTTCAATGCTAAAAGATCAAGATTGTGTACCATGAAGACATTCGATAACTTTCTATTGTAATTAAATCAAAACTTATTTTTTATTATTGATGTGAATTGCAAATATCTCCATATAAACTGTTTAAATGTGATTTTTTTTAAGTATTTAGATTTGTTTTGAACCCTCAGATTCTATATTTTCATATCTCTGTCCCATCCTAACAAATCATACATCAATGTAAAGCCTATTTATTTTGATAAATCTCATTTCAAATGAAATTAACATTTATGACTGCTTATATGGTCTAATTTTAAAACTGAATGTGCAAATATATTATTTAAGAAATCTACAAAACGTGTTCATATCTAGAAAATCTATTTGCTTAGCATTTCTTTGCATGTTAGTTTGCATTTACAACTGCATGCAAGTGATGCCTTTCTTACTTTTTTTCTTCTCTAGACCAAATATCATAAACATTTTCTTCATTAAACATTTGTCAAAATTAAGTGAGTTTTTAATTTAAACAAGCAAAGTAATCTGCCAATGTGGAAAATGAAATAATCTTATGTCAAAGGAGAAACAGGATCATTTCCTTTATTGTCAGATTATTTTGCTTATATTAATCAAAAACTCACTTCATTTTTACTCATTATTTCTGAAAACAACCAATAATTTTTTGCTTGACTAGAAAAAAAAAAAAAAAAAAAAAAGCTTCTTGATTTAGAAGTTTTTAGATATTTGGACTAGAAACAAAACAAAAAAATCTAAGTGAGAAAAGCTGTGTAAGATCAGTATTTTTCTGCAATAAAATGAAAGCAATTGTTTTATCTTTGTTATTCATTTTTAAGACTTGTTTTTTACTGTTTTTATTTTTTTAAACAGGTAGATTTGTGACCCTGGGCCACAAAATCAGACTCAGGTGCATGAGTATAGCCAAAAAATAGTCAAAATAATAAAAACTAAATAAGCCAAGAGATCAAGATCATGTACCATGAAGACATTTTGTAACTGTCTACTGTAAATATATCAAAACTGAATTTTTATTGATGTGCATTGCAAAGATCTTCGTTTAGATTATTTACAATGTCATTTTAAGAGTATTAAGATTTTTTTAACCTTCAGATTCTAGATTTTCAGTCAAATCTCTGTCTAGTCCTAACACACTATACATCAGTGTAAAACCTATTTATTTGAATAAATCTTATTTAAATGAAATTAACATTTTTGACTGCTTATATGGTCTAATTTGAGAACTGAACGTGTAAATATATTATTTAAGAAATCTACTAAATGTGTTCATATCTAGAAAATCTATTTGCTTTGCATTTCTTTGCATGTTGGTTTGCATTTACAACTGCATGGAAAAAGATACTTTTCCTACTTTGAGTTTTTGTCTTGTTTCTAGACCAAATATCATAAAACATTTGTCAAAATAAAGTGAGTTTTTAATTAAAGCAAGCAACATAATCTGCCAATGTGGAGAGTGAAATAAAGGATATGTCAAAAGAAAACAACATCATATCTTTTACCCTATTGTCAGATTATTTTGCTTATTTTAATCAAAAAGTCACTTCAATTTAACTCCTTATTTCTGAAAACAACCAATATTGTCTAGAAAAAGCTTCTTGATTTAGGAATGTTAAGATATTTAGACTAAAACAAGACCAAAAAAATCATTCAAGCTTTTTTTTCTCACTGTATTAGCGCAATACGAATTTCCAGGCAGAGCTCGGTAACATTACTGCAATTAAAAAGAGTAAATCATTAGTAGAAAGCAATGCCAGTGTGCATTACTGATCTCTCTCACACACAGACCATGCAGCGCAAGTTGAAGTAAAAGAAGAAGAAGAAAGAAAGAAGCCTGCATGTATAGAAAGCATATAAAGCGCTTGGAGAGGAGAAGGTGTCAGTGTGTGGGATCTCAGTGGTGGAGATGCTGAGTTCGGGGAGGGTCGACTTTGAGCTGACATTGAGAGTGACGGTCTGTGCTTCATGTAAGATCACTGGACGCGGATTCTAGACGCAGGAGCTGCTCGTGTCTGTTTCCCCGTCTGTCCTTCAGCACCACCGCACTTTTGGACAGCACCAGGCGCCCGGACCCGCTCACCTTTACCCTCTGGATAACTCTTATTCCCCTTCTTCTTACTATTATTATGTTCGTTTGACTTTATGGAAACATTTTGCACTGCTTTGGACGAGTGAAATTGCAAGCGCTCGAATTGGAGAGGAACCAGCGGATACGCGCCGCCACAAACCAAACTGGCTGGAAACCTGTTCTGGCGTAAGTACCTACAACACGTCTGACTGATTTATAGCTTGCTTTTTTGCATAAAACACATTCATTTAAAAAGATGCTTGCATAAAGTTATTTGAGAAATGATAGATTGACTTTTAGGCGTATTATAAAACGCGTTGATCGAGCGCGCATGTCACATATTTTCTTCGAATGCACTGTGCGTAATTGGAAATATTTTAGCTTCTTGCGTTCATTTCGGGAGTGTAATCGAAAAAGGTTGATTTGTTGTATTAAAACATTTCGCAGATGCAAATGGGCAGATTTGCGCGACTTTTTGTGCGCGCTTTCAGCGCGGGCGCATTGACATCCGCGCGCACAGCTTTGGACGCGCCGCGCGCTTGGAGCTCCGTTCATTTAAAATGGATGTAATCCACATAATAATCGACACAATAATCTGTTTTTGCATTTATTGCAACTGTTTAAGACAACTAAAGTAAGATCTATAATTTGCATTCCGTTTTAAACTCAAAATTCTCGCTTAAAATAATTAGAAATTATTAAGAAATGCAAACATGACTATTTTGCAATAGATCGCACAGTTAAAGTTTTATAAAACAAACAAAAAAGCGCAATCATTTCAGACATTTAAAATAAATATATATGAACAACTGAGTTTTGTAGGTTTTTTAAAAATAAATGAATAAATAAATGCGTGCGCGCACCAATCGCAGGTGCGCAATTTGTATTTTAACTCGCGTCTTATTTTATTTTTGTATACTGTTCGTGCAGAAACAGCTATAACCAATGCACATATCTAAACCAGCCCTCCCTCTCCTTCATTTCCAGGTCACTGTCAAGCATCATCGGCGTTTTTTGGTTCTAGTCGTGGGTTTAACGAACCGCGAAGCTGCTGTCTACGTGGACCGGTGCTGAACTCTCCCGTCCGACCGCCAGGACCAAACCCCGAGACATGGCCACGAACGGCACCAAAGCCTCCGATGGACACGTTTTAACAGAAGTGAACGAAGCGCCCACCGCCAACGACAAACCAAAAACTCTGGTGGTCAAAGTTCAGAAGAAGAAGGAACTTCCCGACAGGGAAACATGGCAGGGAAAATTTGACTTTCTTCTGTCTTGTGTTGGCTACGCCATTGGACTCGGCAATGTCTGGAGATTTCCTTATCTATGCGGGAAAAACGGAGGAGGTAAATGTATTTTCCAGCTTCGAAAGAAAAGGAGTAAAAATCATTGGAAGCGCAGAGACGGATTATATTTCAATGTGTCTGATTGTGTTGCTCTTCTGTCTGTATAGGGGCCTTCTTGATTCCTTACTTTTTGACCCTTATATTTGCTGGGGTCCCGTTGTTTTTTCTGGAAACGGCCCTCGGCCAGTACACGTCCATTGGTGGGCTTGGAGTGTGGAAACTTGCTCCTATGTTCAAAGGTAACCAACATATGGAGCATCAATAACCTCAGATCAATGATTGCACTCATTACGCACGCACGCTATTTTCTGTGAATGCGCGAGAATATTCCTCCGCGAGTGTCGAGATCATAACAAATATTAACGCTGTGTTAACGAGCACAAGATGATATGAAGTAACAATTTAATGATGTGGCAGAAATATGACGATTCATAAAAAGATGACACCGGAAGTCTCGCGCATTCAAATTATAAATAGCGCGCTAAACACAGCCTGCACTGAAGCTTGTAAATGTCACTCATGCCAAACACACACGCACACACACACAAACACACACACACAAAATGCGATGAACTGTGCAGTGATTGTAGCGCACATATCTCCGTAGGTGTTGGCCTGGCTGCAGCAGTCCTGTCGTTCTGGCTTAACATTTACTACATTGTCATCATTGCATGGGCGATTTACTATCTGTATAACTCATTCACCACAGTAAGTACACGCTTCACACTTGAGCTACACTGTGCAAAAAATGCTGGCTTCCTCACAATGTTGTCCAGACACAAATTGATTAAGCTAACTTAATAGTTCTTACAAATTTAAGTGGATTAAACATAAAACATTTAAGTTGTCCTGCAAAAACACCCAAGAATTGTGTTGATCCAGCTCATTTTGAAAAACAAGTTTGAACAAACATGTGAAACCCCCTGAACTGCACATTCAGATGCTCTCTAAAATGTTTTCAGGATCTCCCCTGGAAATCTTGCGACAACCCTTGGAATACGGACAAATGCTTCTCCAACTACAGCATGGCGAACATCGGGAACATGACCAGCGCCGTGGTGGAGTTCTGGGAGTAAGAGCCGATTTCTGTGAAAAACTCTGCAGTTTGGTATTCCAGCGACACGCACACACTCCTCTTTTGTGCCGGGCTGTGTAAAAGAGCCACTGTTGTCGCTCAGAAATGCCGCTATTGTCCCATTTTTTCTGGCAAACATGCCCGGCTGAATGTTTTGCATCTACAATTAGCCCGGCTCTATTGCAGAGCATTTATGTGCTGGCGGATATTAATTAATTCTGCATGCTCTAATGCTGTTTATTCTGCTCCTCTTGTCTAGACGTAACATGCATCAGCTGACGGACGGCCTGGAGAAGCCGGGAGAGATCAGACTGCCGTTAGCTATAACACTGGCCATCGCCTGGGTCCTGGTCTATTTTTGCATCTGGAAGGGCGTAGGATGGACTGGAAAGGTATGGATGTGCTTGTGCGAAAGCAGTTTCAGATTAAGGCCTACAGTCGAGGCTTCAAATGGAAATGAAAATCACCCTGCCCAAATAAAAATTCCAATCAGCAATATACAAATATGCACTTGCTTTTAATGCATTAAATAGACACTGCTTTATTATTCATATTGCATTTTTTTTTGGTAGTGTAAATATCTAAAAATGCATTCAGATTAAATCAAGATCAAAAAGTCAAAATGATTTAGTAAAAATAAATGTGTCGTTTTCAGAAAAAGGACAAAAAATCCTCAAAATTTAGCAAAATGAGCCTGTTTTTTTACTTGCCACACTGGCTAATTATTATTAATATTTATTTAATTATTACTTTTTGATTTTTGTTTAATTTCTGTTCATGAATAAGATACAAATGTCCCCAATTTTGAGATTTAGGCCTGCAGTCGTGGACTGGGTATGAGCATCAAGGCTTCTGCACCAAACACCACTCCCAAAGGACAACAATAAACACTTAAGCACTTGCTTTTAATACATTTAATAAACATATACATACCAAATAAATAAACAAATAAATAAATGAACAAATAAATATATAAATGATTGTCTTGCTTAGAGGTTTAGTCTTGTTTCTATCCTTTATCCTTCAGTCAAGATGCATTTTATAGACAAGTAAAGAAATCTTCTAAACAAACCTCTTTTTAGATTGTTTTGTTTGTTTTAAGAAGAAATTCACTTGATTTTGACTCGTTATTTCTGAAAACAAGACTGTATTTTTTTACTTGTCTAGAAAATGCTTCTTGATTTAAGAATTGTGAGGTATAAGGACTAGAAACAAGACAGAAACCTTTTTTAAATAATTTTTATTCATTTTTATCAGCAATAAACACTTAAGCACTTGCTTTTAATGCAGTAAATAAACACTGCAAATTAAATGATTTCCTTAATTATTTAGCCTTTTTTGTAGTGTAAATGTCTAAAAATGCATTCAAATTAAATCAAGATGCATTTTGTAGTTATAAAGTCAAAATAATTAAGCAAAAATATGTGTCTTGTTTTCAGAAAAGGACAAAAAAAACAGTCAAAAAATGCCAGTGGTGTATGCAAAATAAGATTTTTTTTAGATTATTTCAATTACCACAATGCCAGATTAATTATTATTATTATTATTATTATTATTATTATTATTATTATTATTATTATTATTATTATTATTATTATTTAATTTTGAATTTTCTTATGAAAAGAAAAGTCATATGAATGTCCTTTTGCAAATGCTATTTTGGGATTTAGGCGTACAGTTGAGGATTGGGGATGAGCATCAAGGCTTCTGCACACAACACCACTCCCAAAGGACAACTCTAATCATCAATAAACACTTGAGCAGTTGCTTTTAATACATTAAATGAACATATAAATGCAAAAATAAATAAATTAATAAAAATATTTTCTTACTTAGAGGTTTAGTCTTGTTTCTATTCTTTATCCTTCAATCAAAATGCATTTTATACACAAATAAAAAAAAATCTTGTTTTTTTTTAAAAGAAAACTGAGTCAATATTTTTATAATAAGCAAAATTGTCATCCAAATAAACTTATTTTTAGATTATTTTGCTTGTTTTGAGGTGAAACTCACTTAATTTTGATCATTATTTCTGAAAAAAATACTATATTTTTTGCTGGTCTATAAAATGCTTCTTGGTTTAAGAATTTTTAGATATTTGGACTAGAAACGAGACAAAAAAAATTATTTAACATTTTTTATGAACAATAAAACAACAGTTTTCTAGAGTAAATGCATTCAGATTAAATCAAGATGAATATTACAGTAAAACATTCAAAATAATTTGGTAAAAATATGTCTCATGTTTTCAGAAAAGAAAAAAAAAACAGTCAAAATTAAGCAAGATTTTCATTAAAATAAGATAAATAACCTGCCAGTGGGTAAAGCGATTTTAGATTATTTCACCTACCAAATTTGTTACAAATTTTGATGTGTTTTTTTTCTGAAAACAAAACAATATATATATATTTTTATAATTTATTTTTTATAATTAGACTACAAACACAATAAAAATCAAAGGAAGAAAAGTTTTTTTTTTTTCAAGGAAGACTGGTCACTTCTGAGTTTTCTGAGAAACCCGAGCTCACAAAAGCTTTAAATTAGAGAAAGAATGAAAATTGATAAGGATTTCTTAATGGTTTTTATTTGTTTTATTTCAACTAAATGTTAGTTTTGTGATTTTTTTTTCAATGAATGATTAAAAAGTTAAACAATGCAGATTTATTTCCACCAACAATATTACTCATATTTATCAAGAGGGGCAAATGATTTTCTATATGAACAAATATATATTTATATATCCCCAACAGTCCAAACACATGATGTGACTAACTAAATTGGCTGTAGTGTAAGAATTGGTGTGTGTGTGTAAGAGTGACTATGTATGGGTGTTTTCCAGTACTGGGTTGCAGCTGTAAGGGCATCTGCTATGTAAAACATATGCTGGAATGGTTGGCGATTCATTCCACTGTGGCAACCCCTGATATTTAAGGGAGTAAGCTAAAGGAAAATAAATGAATAAATAACTGCATAAATACACGCTATGAAAATAAATGGTTCGCTGGATTTATTTGAAGGAAAGTGGTTGCGAACAATTTATATGGGCTGAATTTAACGAATTAAATTTGGTAGCGTTCTACTTCGTTGGTTTGTTTGTTTAAAGTCAGCTCATATGAAATTTTTGCAACTACTTACCTTAAAAAACATTTAGCAAATCCAATGAATCATTTTTTTTCAGTGTATTATTACACATAAGAAAAAAGTCAGTATTAAATATATTAGCTATGAATATATTAGCATAGAAACGACACTTTTTTTTTTGATTGTCCCCCGAGTCAAGCAAGACCAGAACCGATGAGACTGAAGAGAATAATGGAAACTCGTCACGCTTCGATGAGCTTCCATTTCTTGAGATAAAATCACTATCTCATGATATCAAAGCAAACCTGTGAGTGTGTGTGTGTGTGTGTGTTTGAGTAAGTGTGTGTGTGTTTCTCAAGGCTGTTAATGTTTGTTTCAGGTGGTTTATTTCTCCGCCACGTACCCCTATTTCATGCTCTTTATCCTGTTCATCCGTGGAGTGACGCTGCCGGGGGCCAAAGAGGGCATTTTATTCTACGTGACGCCTGAGTTCAGCAAACTGAAGGAATCAGAGGTATAGCGCTGTGTAATTAGCATACAGTAATGAACGTGTGTGTTTGCAGCAAGCTTATTTTAGTAAACTAAGACTAAGACTATATATGAAACTACTGAACCGTTTACTTAAATAACCTTTCCAAGCCTTTCTGAGTTTCTTTCATCTAATAAACACAAAAGAAGATATTTTGCAGAAAGCTGAAAAACCGGTAACCATTGACTTACATAATAGGAAAAACGAATGGAACTCAATGGTTACGAGGTTTTTTCCAAATATTTTTGTGTTCAGCAAAAGAAATAACATCTAACAGATGTGGAACATGTGAGAAAATAATGACTGAATTTAACAGATAATAGTATGAAAATAAAAACTAGTTTAAATATGCAAAACAATAATAACATGTCTAATGATAAATCTCTGAATGCTCCATATTTACACAGAAATTAAATGGACAGTTCACCCAGAAATTAAAATGTACTGTCTATTTACTCTCTCTCAAATGTTTCTGACTTTCTTTCATCTAATAAACACAAAAGAAGATATTTTGAAGAAAGCTGAAAACTGGTAACCATTGACTTCCATAATAGGAAAAACAAATGAAAGTCAATGGTTACTGGTGTTCTTCAAAATATTTTTGTGTTTACCAATAGAAAGAAAACCAATAAATAATGACATGAAATATGACAGAATTTTCCATCATTTTAACAGAAAAAGTAAAAATAATATAAATTATAAAAAATAAAAAAACTCATTTAAAAAATGCAAAACAATAATAACATGTTTATTAAATGCTTAATACTAAAATGAAAGGGACAGTTCACCCAGAAATGAAAATTTACTGTCTATTTACTCTCTTTTTCAAGTGGTTCCAAACCTTTAGGAGTTTCTTTCTTTCAATAAACTCAAAAAATATATATATATATATATTTTGAAGAATGCTGAAAATTGGTAACCATTGACTTCCATAGTAGGATAAAAAATTGGAAGTCAATGGTTACAGGTTCGCTTTAAAATAGTTTGTGTGTTCAACGGAGGAAGAAAAATCAAGTTTCTTTCTTCTAATAAACTCGAAAGAGAATAATTTAAAGAATGCTGATAACCGGTAACCATTGACTTCCTTAGTAGGAAAAACAAGTGGAAGTCAGTGGTTACCGTTTTGCTTCATAGTATTTGTTGTGTTCAACAGAAGAAAGAGCATCAAGTTTCACTGTAAAAAAATACAGGAATCAGCACAATTTCTTTATGTTGTCTCAACACAAATCGAATAAATTAACTTAATTGTTTCTACAAACTTAAGCTGATTGAACATAAAACAACTAAGTTATCCAACAAAAACCCTCAAGAATTGTGTTGATTCAGCTCAATATAAATAAGTAGTTTAAACAAGCAGCAACAAATATTTTGAGTAGTCTTTCTTCTAGTAAACTCAAAAGAAGATATTGTGAAGAAAGCTGAAAAAACAGTAACCATCGACTTCTATTTGTTTTTTTTACTATGAAAGTCAATGGTTACCAGTTTTTAAGCTTTTAATTTTATTCAATATATATTTTTTTGTGTGTTTAAAAAAAGAAAGAAAATCAAACAATAATGAAATGATATGATGAATTTTCCATCCTTTTAGCAGAAAATGTAAAAAAGGCATCAAACCAAAACCAGAAAATAATGAAAAACAAATGCAAAACAATAATTACATGTTTATTAAATGCTCCAAATTTACACAAAATTAAAGGGACAGTTCACTCAAAAATGAAATTTACAATTTATTTACTCTCTATCAAGTGTTTCTAAACATTTCAGAGTTTCCTTCCAATAAACACAAAAGAAGATATTTTAAGTAAAGTTGAAAACCGGTAACCATTGACTTCCATAGTAGGAAAAACAAACAGAAGTCAATGGTTACCAGTTTTCTTTGAAATATTTTTTGTTCAACAGTAGAAAATAAAACAATAATGGCATAATATGATGACAGAATTTTCTATCCTCTTAACAGAAAATGTAAAAATAGCATCAAAACAAAACCAAAAACTAAATTAAAAACTGCAAAACAATAATGGCATGTTTATTTATCAAATGCTCCAGATACACACTGAAGTGTAAAGGGGCAGTTCACCCAGAAATGAAAATTTACTGTCTATTTACTCTCTATCAAGTGTTTCCAAACCTTTATGAGTTTCTTTTTTCTAATAAACACAAAAGAAACACAAACAAAGATATTTTGAAGAAAGCTGAAAGCTGGTACCCATTGACTTCCATAGTAGGAAAAACAAATGGAAGTCAATGGTTACCGGTTTTCCTCAGAATATTGTTTGTGTTCAACAGAAGAAAGAACATGAAACATTTTTGCAATATGTGAGAAAACGATGATCAAATTTAACAGAAAATGGTATCAAAAAAAATTTAAATATGCAAAACAATAATAACCTGTTTATAAACAATTATATAAATGCTTCCTTTTTACACAGATATTAAAGGGATAGTTCACCCAGAAATGAAAATTTACTGTCGATTTACTCTCTGTCAAGTGTTTTCAAAAACAAAAAAGAAAAAAGAAAAAGAAAAAAAAAAAAGCTGAAAGCCGGTAACCATTGACTTCCATAATAAGAAAAACAAATGAAAGTCAATGGTTACCAGTTTTCTCTAAAATTTTTTTTTCTTCTGTTCAAAAAATGAATTATTCTAATAAGAAGCATTAATCCATTTGAAACATAAGTTACTGATAACAGCATTTAATAGACAATGTAAAACCTAATTTAAAAAATGCAGAGCAGTAATTAGCAGTTAATTAAATATTAATTGTGTGAATTCTCCGTCAGGTGTGGCTGGACGCCGCCACGCAGATCTTCTTCTCGTACGGTTTGGGTCTGGGCTCGCTCATCGCCCTCGGGAGCTACAACCCCTTCAACAATAACGTTTACAAGTATGCGGCAACTGTAAGATTTATTAAAGGCCATTCAAACGATGTCTTTAATTTAATCTGTACAGAGCAGAGCTGAAGTGCACTAGATGTTTAGCAGGGTGAACGACGACTGATGAGTGAACACGTTTCTCGTCTGCTCCTCAGAGACTCCATCATCGTCTGCTGCATTAATTCCTTCACCAGTATGTTCGCCGGATTCGTCATTTTCTCCATCGTTGGCTTCATGGCGCACATCACAAAACGACCCATCGCAGACGTGGCGGCATCAGGTGACCATCAGGGGTTCAGATCCATCACTGATAACATGAGTTTTCACAGTATTTCCTTTAATGTTTGTTCTTCTGGAGAAATCTGATTTGTTTTAAGCTAGAATAAAAGCAGTTTTTAATTTATTTAATCCATGTTAAGGTCAATATTATTCACCCCTTCAGCAATATTAGTGTTGGATAGTCTCCAGAACAAACCACTGTTATACAATGACTTGCCTAATTACCCTAACCTTACCCTAGCTAAGCCAGGGTTACAGCTGAAATCTGGAGGACGGTGGATCTCTGTCCTAGTGTGTGTCTCAATCAGCTCTCGAGGTCATTCATCAGCATTTACAGTAAGCTAATGGAATGTGTGTGTGTGTGTGTGTGTGTGTGTGTGTGTGTACAGGGCCAGGATTGGCGTTTCTGGCGTACCCCGAGGCTGTCACTCAGCTGCCGATCTCTCCGCTCTGGGCTGTGCTGTTCTTCTCTATGCTGCTCATGCTGGGCATTGACAGTCAGGTAAAACACACGCACACACACACACATGCATGCTCGCACAGACATGTGCACATACACACAGACACTCACACACACATGCATGCACACAAACACACATGCATGCACACACAGCCATGTACACAAACACACACTCACACACACATGCATGCACACATACATACACACATGCATGCACACACAGACATGTACACAAACACACAGACACTCACACATGCATGCATGCACACATACATACACACATGCATGCACACACAAAGTCACGTACACACACAGAAACTAACACAGGCACACATGCATGCACACAGACACACATGCATGCACGCACACAGACACACACACACACACAAATGCACACACACAGACACACACATGCTTGCACACAGACACATACTTGCACACACACACACACACACACACACACACACATGCATGCACACAGACACATACTTGCACACACACATGCACACACACATAGGCATGCGCACATACGCACAGACAAACGTGTATTTACACATGCATGCACACAGGCACACGTGCAAACACACACACACACATGCACGCACACACACAGACATGCAGACAAGCACACATGAACGCAGGCACACAGACATGTACACACACACACATAGGCATGCACACACATACACGCACACACACATGCATGCACACAAACACACATGAGCGCATGCACGCACACAGACACACACACACACACACACATAGGCATGCACACACATACAGGCACACACACATGCATGCACACAAACACACATGAGCGCATGCACGCACACAGACACACACACACACACACACACATAGGCATGCAAACACACATACACGCACACACGTGTGCATGCACACAAAGACACACATGCATGCACACAAACACACATACATGCACAAAGACACGTACACACACACAGGCATGCACGCACACAGACACACATGTAAGCGCACAAATGCACACACACATGCATGGATGCACACAGACACACATGCACACGCGCACACACATACACAGATACACAACCTGCAGATATACACCATGCACTCATTCCAGATCTGATTGATTATAGTGTTATCAGAGACAAACACACACACACACTCACGCTGGCACGCACGCAAGCAGATAGACACACACCGAAACATGACATGCACACAGTCAGTTCAATTTTTTATTCTTTGTTTTATTTTATTCTGTGTGTGTGTGTGTGTGTGTGTGTGTGTGTGTGTGTGTGTGTGTAGTTCTGCACAGTGGAGGGCTTCATTACGGCTCTGGTGGACGAGTTTCCGCGAGCTCTGCGAGGAAGAAGAGAAATCTTCATCGCTGTGGTCTGTCTGGTGTCATATTTGATTGGCCTCTCCAACATCACACAGGTGAAGAAACACCTGCATGTTGCACATAAATCATAAAACACCTTTAACTATCACATAACAGTGGAGAAAACAGCAGATCATCCTAAAGCTCTGAGTGCAATGGCTGTACGGTGAAAATACGGTAAGAGCACATCGAGAGCTCTTGAAGCGGCTTTATGCAGATCATCTGCATGTGCTGCCGTTTACAATGACTCTGAAGTGGCCAAACTATATAAAACACATACTGTTATATAAAATCATGAAGAGACTAGATGTAAAATATTGAAGAAGGTCACTGGTTCGAGTCCCAGCTGAGTCAGTTGGCATTTCTGTGTGGAGTTTGCATGTTCTCCTCATGTTGGTGTGGGTTTCCTCCGGGTCCCCCACAGTCCAAACACATGCGCTACAGGGCAATTGAATAAGCTAAACTGTATGTGTGTAAATGCAAGAGTGTATGGGTGTTTCCCAGTATTGGGTTGTGGCTGGAAGGGCATCCGCTGTGTAAAACATATGCTTGATAAGTTGGCGGTTCATTCCGCTGTGGCGACTTCTGATGAATAAAGGGACTAAGCTGATAATAAAATGAATAAATAAATGATATAGTGAAAAATTTGAGTAATTTTTTTTAATTAAAATTAAAGTAATTTTGCTTCTCAAATAAATGCATGTTGATTGAATTGATTTATTATTATTTTATTCCAGTCTGCTATACTGACCACCATGGTAATATAGGAGGTAACACGAAATACACATAAAAAGTTCATTAAATTAATCAAATTAAAAAAATTAATTAATTAAAATGAAAAGGAGCAATTACCACATAACACACCACAATTTACAATAATAACTACAAAATATATACAAATAAATAAATTAAATAAATAATCTCTTTCCCGAATTTTGTGAAATGTCATATGTCATATTACTGCATGAAAAAAAATACAAAAATAAATAAATAAAATATTTAGCAGTTTTGGTGTATCGAAATTTAAATAAATAAATAAACAAACAAACAAACAAATAAATAAATAAATAAATAAATAAATAAATAAATAAATAAAATACAATAAAATACAGTAAAATAAATGAATGAATGAATAAATGATAAACAAAAACACAAACAAATAAATAAATAAAAAAATAAATAAATAAATAAATAAATAAAAAGTAAAATGAATAAATGAAGAATGAATGAATGAATGAATAAATAATAAATAAATAAATAAATATTAAACAAATAAACAAACAAGCAAGCAAACAAACAAACAAATAAATAAAAAGTAAAATGAATGAATAAATAAATAAATAAATAATAAACAAATAAACAAACAAACAAACAAAAAACAAACAAACAAACAAATAAATAAATTAATTAATTAATAAAATAAGTAAAATAAATGAATGAATGAATGAATAAATTAAATAAAATAATAAATAAATAATAAACAAACAAACAAGCAAGCAAACAAACAAATAAATAAATAAATAAATAAATAAATAAATAAATAAATAAATAAATAAATAAATAAATAAATAAATAAATAAATAAATAAATAAATAAATAAATAAATAATATATTTCCCACATGTTGTGAAATGCCATATTATTACATAAACAAACAGACAAATAAAATATTTAGCAATTTTGATATATGGTAATTTAAATACATGACAAATATATAAATAAATAATAAATAAATAATCTCTTTCCCACATTTTGCGGAATGTCATATCATAGATGTTTCATTCAGAAAGATGGGGAAAAGGGTTTGGGGAGAGTTATTACAACCTAACAGACTCCTCCTCCTCACCATTTCTGTTTGATGTTAAAGGGGGGTGTGGTTATGTATGTTAGCCACACCCATTACCTCAGACATACCAAATTTGCAGATTTACATTAAAGATTACTAGAGCAAACTATTGTTTTGTTCTTAATGACATGCACAGATAAATTGTTCAGCATAAAACTAGCAATGTGAGCTAAATCAAAATAAGGATCAATATGGTGAGTTTTGAATTCATCTGTACTTTAATCGTGTTTATCTTGTGTGGACAGGGCGGTCTGTATGTGTTCAAACTCTTCGACTATTACTCTGCCAGCGGGATGTGTCTGCTGTTCCTCGTCTTCTTTGAGTGCGTCTCCATATCCTGGTTCTACGGTAAATGTCCTTAAATAAAATAACTATTTAATTAATTTGAATGCAGATTATGCAATTACATATGTGTCATGCAAATTTCTATATGGATTTCACATATTGTTAGATAATTAAAAAGTGGTAGTTTAGTTTTTTTTTCAACTATTGGAATTACAAAAATGCACATATATAAAAATATGGCTAATATATTTGAACATGTGTGTTTTTATTTACGACCATATGAATGTGCCAAAAGTTTTGAAAATGCCTTTTGTATGCAGATGGTGAATTTTCTTACAAGTATTCTGTTAAATGACCATATGTGCAAATTACATACAGTATATGACAGACAAGTTTATATTTATATATCACATGTACAACAAATATATTTTTAATTATTGCAAAAATGATAGTGTAGATTTTTTTTAAACCATTGAAATTGAAAATATGCACATATGTTCACATATATTAGCTCTAATTTCATATTTATTTATTTATTTATTTATTTATTTATTTATTTATTTATTTATTTATTTATTTATTTTAATATACAGTTGAAGTCAGAATTATTAACCCCCTGAAATATTATCAGACATGCTGTGAAAATTTCCTTGCTCTGTTAAACATCATTTGGGAAAAAAAAAAAAAAAATATATATATATATATATATACAGATGAAGTCAGAATTATTCGCCCCCCTGTTTATTTTTCCCCTAATTTCTGTTTAATGGAGAGCAGATTTCTGCAACACATTTCTAATCATAATAGTTTTAATAACTAATCTCTAATAACATAATAATTTATTTTCTCTTTGTCATGATGACAGTAAATAATATTAGACTAGATATTATTCAAGACACTTCTATACAGCTTAAAGTGACATTTAAAGGCTTCACTAGGTAAATTAGGTTAACTAGGCAGGTTAGGGTTATTAGGCAAGTTATTGTATAATGATGGTTTGTTCTGTAGATCGAAAAACAAAAATGAGCTTAAAGGGGCGAATAATTTTGTCCTTAAAATTGTGTTTAAAAAATTCTAAACTGCTTTTATTTTAGCCAAAACAAAACAAATAAGACTCTATATTATTAAATATTCTGTGAAAATTTCCTTCCTTTGTTAAACATCATTTGGAAAATATTAAAAAATAAATAAAATTAAAGGGGGGGGCGAATAATTCTGACTTCAACTATATATGTATATCAACATATATGTGCATATTTGTAAATCCACTGATAGATATAAATATTTAAACTAATGTAAACAAAATTTTCAATTATATGTTGCCTAGCCTATATACCATATATTTTATATATGTGAAATCCACATATGAACTTAAATGTCATATGTAATTTGCATATATTTCCCTACATCAGAACTTTTGCGAGCCAAGCAGAGTTCAATTTGACACGCATTTTAAAAAGTACTGTAGCAAATATATGAATAAATGGAATATATCACAACACACAATCATTCAAAGTGAACTATTGGATTATTTAAAAAATAAAGGGACAGTTCAGCAAAAAAAAAAAGAGCATTGTCATCATTTACTCACCTGTTCAAAACAAACAATAACCAGACATTATAAAGAACTAAGACATCCAAACACTGATCTGAAGAGCCTAAAATTAAACATAAAAAAAAACATTGCAATGGTTAACATTTTATCCTACAGGTCCCGATTAGTGCTTTAAAATGTGCACTTTTATTTGATGTTTGGCGTAATCTGATGCATGGATGCTCATGAGTTTGTTTCTTCTGCACTGTAAAAATAGATGACTCAACTTAAAACTGAAAGGCAACGTGCTGCTGAGCTTTTTTGAGTTGACTCAACTTTCAACCCAAGTACTGCGTTTGACTCGATTTGAGTAAAAACAGAAGCTCTGCAGCAAGTTGCAGTTTTAAGTTGAGTCAACATTTTTTGTGTGTTGAGTACACAAGTTAATTTAATATTTATTTTCTAGTCCATGGGTGCCAGCAACCAGCAAACATCTTCAGCAAATATATCAAAACATCCTCTTTTGTTTTTAACAGAAGAAAGCCATAAAGATTTAAAGAGCACCTGTTATGGAAAATCACCTTTTAAAAGGGGTTTGAACACAGTTGTGTGTCAGCAGTGTGTGAATATATCCAGCATCTAACAGTAAACACTATGTAATTGTCTTTGTTCATAATCAGACTTGATTAAATCAGTCTGCAGAAACACTTTGATTGACATTCTCCCTTTGTATGATGTCATCAGAGGGGGAAAGCCCCGCCCACTAGTGACCATCTCTCTCTCATTAGCATACAGTGAGTTAGTCTTATGTTTTAATGTCACTATGCTGACTCAGAGGCATTTGTAGCTCCACCTTCTTATTAAAAAGAGCTCAATCTCATTTGCATTTAAAGCGACAGTCACCAAAACACCCATACAGGATCAAAGCCTAAAAGGGTCAGTTTCAGAGAGTTAGAGAACATTATCTGAGTGCTTTTTTCAGCTCAAACTGAAACACGTGCACTGTAGAGACACTAATTTTACATCTTAGGTTAAATAGGTCCCCTTTAAATCCACATGGTGAAGAATATAGACGTAATCATTTTTATTTTTGTGTGAACTGTCCCTTTAATAATTTGTTTGCATTAATTTCCGCTCACAAGCAGGCATAATGCGTAACGCATGCTAATGATTATCAGAGATCTTCATAATTCATGCTAATCTCGGTGCCAGACTCATTTCCACACTCAGATGATTTGACTGAATGTGAACCTGCAGAATCTTAATTGTTGTGCGTGGCAGGCCTGATTATGCAAACGACTGGGCGATCCTCCATTTGCATTTATGAAGAGGCTTCACAGACCTCCAGCCGGCTGTAATACACACGCAGTACTGCATTGACACTCTTTATATTTGTGTTTTTGCAGGTGTCAATAAATTCTATGGCAACCTGGAGGAGATGATCGGATACAAGCCGTGCATTTGGTGGAAGCTGTGCTGGGTGGTGTTCACTCCGCTGATCGTGGCGGTAGGTGCATTTATTGCGTGTTTTTTTTAAATATTTAACAAAAACAATGTGCATACAGTAGGTTTCACAATAAACATGAGTAAACGAAACAAAAGCACAAACTGCACTGCTTGTCTTATTTTTAATAGTGGTGTACGTTGCAAAGAACTTCATATACACTGCAAAAAAATGCTTTTCTTACATTTTTTTTTCTTATTTCTAATCCAAATGTCTAGAAATTCTTGAATTAAGAAGAATTTTCTAGACAAGCAAAACATATTGTCTTGTTTTAATAAATAATATGCCAAATTGAAGTTAGTTTTTCCTTAAAACAAGCAAAATAATCTTATGTCAACAGAAAAACAAGACTATATTTCTTACCCCATTTGCAGATTATTTTGCTTGTTTTAAGGAAAAACTGAATGAACATTGGCATATTGTTTATAAAAAAAATGTAAGAACTTTTCGATATATCTTGGACTAGAAACAAGACAAAAAAATGTAGGTAAGAAAGTCATTTTTTTTTTGCAGTGTAAACTATTTAAAAATGTGTTTTTCTCAGTATTTTAATTTATTCAAACCCTCAAGATTTTTACATAGTTATTTATCAAAACAAATCTCAATAACATAGAATAAATGGACATTTATGTCTAGTTTCTGATCACATTTTAGAACTGAATGTGAAAATATATTATAGAAATGTGCAAAAATGTCTAAACATTCTTAAATCAAGAAGTATTTGTGGACAAGCAAAACATATGGTCTTGTTTTAAGAACTAATATGCCAAACTGAAGTTAGTCTTTCCTTAAAACAAGCAAAATAATCTGCCAGTGGGGTAAGAGAAGTAATCTTGATTATGCTTTGAAATAAGACTATTTTCTTTACCCCATTGGCAGATTATTTTGCTTGTTTTAAAGAGAAAATCACTTAATGTTGACTCATTATTTCTTAAAATAAACAGTTTTTTACTTGTCTAAACATGCTTGTTGAGTTGGTACTTGCTTTAGAAACAAGAAGTCTAAGTAAGTAAAGTAGTTTTTGCAGTGTAGTGCATAAGTTGCTTAGACACTTACTGTACATTTACTTCACGATATTGCAGTTAAATCCTGATCTAATCTAACAGGCCACTTTATTAGGTACACCTTATTAGTACCACTTTAGACCTCTTTTGCCTTCAGAACTGCCTTAATCCTTTGTGGCATAGATTCAACACGTTACTGGAAATATTCCTCAGAGATCTTGCTCCATATTGACATGAGAGCATCACACAGATATATCCATGATGCCAATCTCCCGTTCCACCACATCCCAAAGGTGCTCTATTGGATTGAGCTCTGGAGACTGTGGAGGCCATTTGAGTTCAGTGAACTCATCGTCATTTTCATGAAACCAGTCTGAGATGATTGAGCTTTATGACATGCTGCGTAATCCTGCAGTCATAAAGGGATGGACATGGTCAGCAACAATACTCCGGCGTTGAAACGATGCTCAATTGGTACTAATTGGCTCTAAGTGTGCCAAAAAAATCTCCCCCACCAATTACACCACCACCAGCAGCTTGAACTGCATCTGTGTCAGCAGAAATGGAGACTCATCAGAGCAGCGACGTTTCTTCAATCTTCTATTGTCCAGTTTTGGTGAGTCTGTGTGAATTGTAGCCTCAGTTTCCTGTTCTTAGCTGACAGGAGCGGCACCCGGTGTGCTCTTCTGCTGCTGTAGCCCATCCGCCTCAAGGTTGGCCGTGTTGTGTGTTCAGAGATGCTCTTCTGCAGAGCTCGGTTGTAACGAGTGCTTATTTGAGTTACTGTTGCCTTTCTATCAGCTGGAACCAGTCTGGCCATTCTCCTCTGACCTCATCAACAAGGCATTTGCGCCCACAGAACTGCCGCTCACTGGATATTTCCTCTGTGTCGGAGCATTCTCTGTAAACCCTAGAGATGGTTGTGCGTGAAAATCCCAGTAGATCAGCAGTTTCTGAAATACTCAGAGCAACCCGTCTGGCAGTAACAACCATGCCACGTTCAAAGTCTCTTAAATCCCCTTTCTTCCCCATTCTAATGCTCGCTTTGAACTGCAGCAGATCATCTTGACCATGTCTGAATGCCTAAATGCATTGAGCTGCCGCCATGTAATTGGCTGAGTAGACATGTGTGGAGCAGTTGGACAGGTGTACCTAATAAAGTGTATGAGTGTAAATATCTAATATATCAATATCTGAATGATTTCTTTTTATGTAGGAATAGTCGGAGATCAAAATCCATTTACTCTCACGCTTCATGGAAACATTCACAGTTACATATTTAAACCATAATTTTAGAAACATAAAGCAGTCAGGACAAACTATACATCACATGAACGCTTAACGTTTCTAGGTTCCATAGCTGGAGACTTTTAATTGATGTTACTGAGCAACGGTTATTTATTCATTTGCAACAAGGATACTCAGACTTGTAAAGCATTACTTTGCTACAGCAATCCACTTTTTTTCTAATTTAGATCTAAATTCCACCAAACTGCCCTTACTACTTTACAATTAGATGTCACTTTACAAGTATTGTCAAAAGTATGACAAAATATGGTTCATATTCATCAAAACACAGAAATAGGGAGCACCCTTATATGGTCACTAATTGAAACTGAATGTCAACTAGTGGTCATGTTTGGTACTGCGGTGATAATTTCTGAAAGCTAATTTTTTCAAACTGCAAAAAAAATTTACAAAAAATTAAGCTAAAAATCTGTAAAAAAATAAAAATAAAAATTATATATATATATATATTATTTTTATTTTTATTTTTTTACAGATTTTTAGCTTAATTTTTTGTCTAATTTGGTCTAAAACAGCTGTTAGACTTATTAGTTCCTTCCGTTACGTACTACTGAGTGTCCATTAGCATGAGATAGCATTGTTGGGGCCTCTTTACATCTGTGAGCTGGAGATCCTGACAGATTGTTTGTGTGTTGTGCATTAGGGAGTGTTTCTGTTCAGCGCCGTTCAGATGGTCCCGCTCACCTTGAACAATTACGTGTTCCCGAAGTGGGGGCAAGGCGTGGGCTGGTGCATGGCGCTGTCCTCCATGGTCCTCATTCCCGGATACATGGGCTACATGTTCCTCACCCTCAAGGGCTCGTATAAAGAGGTAATGCTGGACTTTCTCTGCTCGCCCAATGCATGGTTAAAACTCATCTTTTTATGATGGCGTTAATTATGTGTGCTATTGTTGTATTTTTATTGCTTGATTTATTTTTTGTTTTACACTTGAAGTAGTGCTTTGGGTGTAAGAAAAGTGCAGTATAAATAATATGCATGTATTACTTTGCATAAGAGTTCATGTAAACTGTGCAAATGATATATTTTACTGTGGAAGTGCAACAAAACTATGATGCTCTTTCAGGAAGAAGTGCCAACAAATTTACAATAACTAAAACTAGCAAAACCTACAACGAAACAAACTAAACCGAAAAGCACAGCACATTAAAAAAACAGTGTCAAAATAAAAGGCAATTTAAAAATCTATAATAACCTCGCACCCTCAGCCACAGGTGCATCTGTCAGGAAACATGAAAGCCTCTCCTCTGTAATTGATTTGGATGGCGTGCATTATTAATGCAGATGTTCCAGCATGGGGTGAAGCATGCACTGCTCCTATTTCGTGGCTATTGGATGCGTTTTAATTGCATCAATTAGCCTTCAGTTCTTGCTGTTGCTGGAGCATGCAATCAGAGACTGGGTGATTTCATGAAGTGGATATCTGTCTCTGTTGCTGATTCAGGTTTCTGAGACGAGGAATTAGGAACAAACTAAGCACGGAGCTATAATAGGGACACATTTACACAGCTTGTGTCCTAACTACACACCACATGATGCAACGGCATGCGATCAGACATATTTTATCATGATAAACTAACAATTTGTGCCAGCGATGTGCAAAACCTACATTTTAGATACAGTTCGATGCATTGCTTAGGGCAGGGTTGTCCAAACTCAGTCCTGGAGGGCCGGTGTCCTGCATAGTTTAGCTTCAACTTCCTTCAACAAACCTGCCTGGTTTGTTTTTGTATACCAAGAAAGAGCTTGAGTAGCTGGTTTAGGTGTGTTTGATTGAGGTTGGAACTAAAATATGTAGGGCACCGGCCCTCCAGGACCTAGTATGGACATCTCTGGCTTAGGGAGTAAAAAAAAGCGCAGCATAAATAAAATGCATTATTATTATTATTATTATTATTATTATTATTATTATTATTATTATTATTATTATTATTGGTAACACCTTACAGTAAGGTTCTTCCATCATATTTCTTCAGCTTAGTCCCTTATTTATCAGGGGTTGCCACAGTGGAATGAACCACCAAGCAGGTCAATTTACCTCAGATGTTGAAAAATAATAATAAAAAAGTTGAAATAGTTTGAAAATGACCATTACTGTGACTTAGTGCAGAACTACAACGTCAGTACATTAGCTTTTAATAATCTTTAAGAGATTTAATGTGGAATAATTAACCCACATGTTGATTAATGGATCAAAAATGACCTGCAACATTTTAACAGTAGAAAAAAACAATCTTTTTTTTTATCTTGACATTTGGTGACTTATTTTTAATGAACCCAACATTGGGGAAAAAAAAAAGACATTTAGGGTACAACTCTTGTCTTTTGAGTCAATTCTGACCCAACACACATAAACACACAATAATAAACTCTTATGAATACTGTCTTGCTAATTCACCTTATTCTCAGCTGATGAGTGGGCGCTGCCATTTGAATCTTTTTGTCTCGCAACTTCCGGTCACATTCACTTCCATTCATTTTTTGACGTTAACAACTGCTCGTTACGCTGCTTGATGTTGCAATTTAATATTTTCATATTATATTATGCTATTGGTCTGTGTAGTCATGCAAACATTTGTTTGTTGAGCAAGTAGTTTGGCCATTTTCTGCCGTATATTATTCCTTGTCATTTCTCCCATAGGCGACTGAATCGGAAGTTCTAAGACAATCGCGAAAACAGGCACACTTCCGCATTTTAGAATAAGGTCAATAGGGCTGGGCGATAAAATCGGTATCGATATTTATTGACCAAACACCATTTTCAATATTGATTAAATAAATATTTGGTATGAAGTTTCAGTATGAAGCACTGTAGTTTTATTAAAATGTGGCTGCTGAGCGCGCACCTTAGAAACAGTGGTGTAAAGTAACAAGTTACAAATACTCAAATGACTGTAGTTGAGTAGTTTTTCTCAGGAAAAGTAATTTTATAAATGTGCACTTTTACTCTTACTTGAGTTCATTTTTAGTGCAGTATCTGTACTTTTACTCCACTACTTTCCTTGAACCTGCAGTCACTGCTCTATTATTTAATCCATCTATGGGGATTAGAAAAATCTGTCCTATAATTCCCGTCCAATCAAATCACACATAAAAAGTAAAACACGTCTTCCTCAAGACATGGCCAATTTATAATTGAAGCAAACTGTTAAGAAGCGTTAAAAGTGTCCAAGAAGATGTCCACAATCTTTACATGCATTGACCCAGAGACTGTTTAGATGCAGGTCACTGATGACGGATGTTTACTGTATGATGACCGAAATGGCCTTAAACACCCAGCAGGCACAGGACATCAACATGGCGTCAGATTGACGTTTAACCTCAAAGTCGTGGGGACGTTGGATTTTGTTTGGAAATGAAAATTGGTTTGATGTCAACCATCAACCATAAATCAACCATATATCAACGTCTGATGATGTTACAGCTTGTGGACGTTACCACTATGACGTCTATCAGACGTTGGATTTTATTGCCAGACCTGATAAATAAATGTAATTTTTTGATATCAATATGATTTAAAATGTCGGATTGACGTTGGATTTTGGTCACTTTCCATCGTTTGACGCCATTATTGGTGATCAAAATAAGGTTTTTAGACACTGGCTAGACATTGAATTTTGGTCACCTGACATCACAACTCAAATCTAACCTAATATTAACGTCTTACGACGTTGTGTGCCTGCTAGGCTGTAACTAAATGCACTACAGAATGTTACGTTTACACACACATCCACAAATTACATGTGAACACATCAGCTTTTTACAGCGTAATACTCACTACTCACTAGTCCTTTTAGGAAAGCTACTTTGTACTCAGGTCTTAGAGCCGGAAAAATAATTGAACCGTTCATCTTTCAAGTCCTCGGGTTTGAGTCATTCTGTCACGTAAATAACGAACAACTCATGAATTGAAAGGTAAACTAATCATCATGGCTCCTATCGACGCAGACTGTGTACATTGGTTAAGATTATATGTGACTCTCAGTGTAACGTGAACGAACCACTGACATTTGAAGACATGAAGAGGTGAGCAAAGAGATAAAAATACCTTCATAGAGCAGGTCAACATTGAATTATTATTATCTCCTTCTTATAGTATTCTATTGAGGACTTATTTGTCGTGTGATCAACCTTTTGGGCTTGTTGTAGATGTGTTCGGAAGCAATTCGTAACATTTTAATAACATTTTGGGCAAATTGAACTAAATGAACGAAATGACGAATGACGATGAATGAGACTCAAAGATCCGAGTCGGTAAAATGATCCGAACTTCCCATCACTAGTCTCTTTGAGTAACTTTAACTCAATTTAGAGAGGGACCAAATACTAAACCGAGTACATTTTACTCAGAAGATTTTGCTGTGAGTTACGAGAGATGCTAGCAGAGCATGAGCGCAAAATCCATTGTAATGGTCAAGGAAACCACTTGCTCGTGCTTGTGACTGCAGGTCGTATAGACCTTTTTCATGGCTGCTGCATGGAGGGCGCCGTAGCGACCAGCGTCTTCCGGTAGAATGCTAAAAACTTCTGTGTACAGCGTGTACAACTGGTAATTTGCGCTCCGAAAATGGGTTTCAAAGACGTTTTTAATGGATAACAGAGTGTTTTTGTGACACACAACTTATAAATGTGTCTGTTAAAGATGTTATAATCTGTCACATGTGGTTCAAGCGCGTCAGAAATACGAGAAAAACGTTCTCCTAGTTCACGTGTCTGACGTCAGAAATAATGTACAGTGTGTGTGTGCGATCCCGGCCTGTCAGCTGTTAGCTCGGTGGCACTTTAACACACACATGCACACACACAGAGAGAGAGAGAGACAGAGAGAGAGAGAGAGCAAACCAGAGTACTGGCATGAAACTTAATAGGTAGGAAAGTCGTGCAATTTACAAAAATGAGCAATAAAAGTCTGTTATTGATCCTCTGCTGCTGATTTGCTGTTCATTGTAATCGCGAGCCGTTTGTGTTTTATTTCGTGTGTTGTTTTCACCACGGTTTGTGTTTTTCTGTCATTTCGAAATGACACTAGCCTATATTTTCACTTTGTCACAGTTATTAAATCAGTGTGTCAGTGGCACAGTACAGGCTACGTGTGTTTGTCAAACATTTTGGTGAACTACATTAGTTTGGGCTGGTTATATATGTGAAATAAAGAGAAAATGTTGACTTTAGCGATGACGAGGCTTTATTTAAACTGCTGAAGATGCCGTCTGACAACGAGAGGGAAAACACCTCACAGCAGCTGCTTTCCATCCTATTAGATCACATTTCTTTAAATGATCAGTCCAGGAGATGCTGCTGATGGACAACAGTATTAGTTCAAAGAGGATAGAAGAGGTAAAATAGATTAAAACTATCATTTCAAAGCTGTCCAAATGTGACTGTTTATACACATCAGCTGTCGACCGGAAGTTCTTCGCATTCTCCTTGCGCATACACGCAAAGCATAATGGGTAATTTTGCGTTCCAAGAAAAAGGTTGTATAGCAGCAGTGAGGAGATTGTAAATAAAACAGGATGTCGCCAGAGTGGCTCTTGGGTTTCTTTTCTTGTAATGTTGTCATTCAACTTCATAGTTTGTAATGTTTAGTATGTATTTGAATAATGATGGCTGGTTCCTTTGCTTGAAAGCTCAGGTTTGATTATCATAATAAGTTTTGTTTACAGAGTTTGAGGTTTACTGGATCATTATTATTCACACCTTACAGATGTTGATCCACCTTTACCATTGCACACTCTTGTCAAGTTTGAGTCTCTTTAACACTTCTGTTTATTTTATTATAAAGAGATCAGATGTTTAGTTGAAATATTTTAGATTTTAGTGTTATGGTATTTAGTAATGTTTTAGTTCTAGTAAAAACTATCATTCATTCATTTTCTTGTCGTCTTAGTCCCTTTATTAATCCAGGGTCGCCACAGTGGAATGAACCGCCAACTTATCCAGCAAGTTTTTATGCAGCGGATGCCCTTCCAGCCGCAACCCATCTCTGGGAAACATCCACACACACATTCACACACACACAGTCATACACTACGGACAATTTACCCTACCCAATTCATCTGTACATTGCATGTGTGTGGACTGTGGGGGAAACCGGAGCACCCTGAGGAAACCCACGCGAAGGCAGGGAGAACATGCAAACTCCACACAGAAACACCAACTGAGCCGAGGCTTGAACCAGCGACCTTCTTGCTGTGAGGCAACAGCAGTACCTACTGCGCCACTGCCTCACCTGTAAAAACTATTTGCTATTATATTATTAAACTATTAACTTATCTTCCCAAATATGTTGTTAAAAATATTCAATAATTATCCATATCAAATGAGATAAAACATGATATCTTGATATTTGTTTTGCAATATTGCCCAGCCCTACTTGCTAAACACTTTCTCCACTCCTGCAGGTATTTTCTCGTGTTAAAACGCACCTTTTACTGTAGTGAGAGTGGAGTGTTGTCCACTGAGTGAACACTGCTGAAATACTGCACACTGATGAGGGGAAACACAAGCATTCACAGAGTGTGTGATCAAGATCAGCTTCTTAATTCATGCAGAACTGATTCGGGGATTGAAATTAAGTTGATCTGCTTTATTATAGAGCTTTAGTGAAGGCGGCTCTTTTCAACCCTCAATAGTGTACACAGAGTTATAAGACAACACCAAGGTTAAATTAAAAACCTCTCCGATGGGTTGTGATTGCAGTGCACTACTCTTCATGTGAATGTCTGGTATTTAAATGTTTCTGCCGTGTCGAGTCTGACAGGTTCACATTGGAGGAGTGAAAGATTAGCTTCTTGATTTGCTAATTGTGTACCAATCAGGATCCTGATTTACGCTCTCATGCATCAGCGCATCCCTCTCCTGTCTGTCTCTCCTGATGATTCTCTTCCCTTTTTTTCGTTTGCAGCGCCTTCGGATAATGATTCAGCCCACGGCGGCGGCAGTCCGGACTCAAGAGAACGGGCCCGAACAACAACCCGAAAACCCGACTCCAGCCAACGACGAGGCCTACATCTAACCGTACTCCAGCAAGAGCCAATAAAAGCGTAATCACGGTTGATCACAACCAAGGACTTCCATGTCTAAAGTATATCCACCTACCTCCGAGGGAAAAACCAACCTGATTACAGTTTGACTCGTTTTGGTACATGGTCCAAAAAAAAAAAAAATCTACAAATCTAAGCTTAATCTGTGTTCATATGCAAGATATTAGTAGAAGGGGTAAAAAGAGGAGATCTGGCATCCCAACGTAATTCCAACAGCACAGTGTTAATTTGATATTACATGTAATTAATGTATTAAAATATAAAATACAGTTGTAGGTTAGAATCGAATTGTATCTGATTGTATCTGAAAAATATATAAATATATGAACATACATCTCTCTCTCTATATATATATATATATATATATATATATATATATGAAAAGCAGGGAGTGCATTTAAAAAAGGGGCAAGGTTCAGATTATACACTTTTGGAGAGCGTTTCAATCCGTTCAGCCAAACCCTGAAGACAAGCACAAGACAACAAATATGGATTTGGGTTTACAAACGCCCCGGCGGGCAAATCGACGTCAAAAAAAGACTGTTATTTTTTTCCTTTTTCTTTTTTCTAAGACAAAAAATAACTTTGTATGTGTTTTTTAGGATCATTTTAGTACGTGTTTTCTATGTAAGAGTAAGAAGGACCAAATTCATGTGTACGCTATACTGACAGGTCTGAACGCTGTTTTACGTCGCACCGAATCACCGCACAAAGTCATATTTTTGGGGGCCGACGCACCCCGTGAGACCACTGTTAATCTGCTCAGCACATTTGCATGCCACTCCTCAGGAAAAATGGCGAAAGTGACCAAAATTTGCTCTCCTGGATCTGAAGCGATTATAGCTGTGAGCAGCAAACCATCAGTTCTGTCTGTTGCCATGGTTTCAAGGGTCATTTTGTCAGACATCGTTGACGAACCAGCACTCTGTGTGTGCGTGCGTGCGTGTGTGTGAGTGTGTGTGTGTGTGTGTCAGAAACAGAGCCGTCGCTCCAACCAGAAAAACACAAAAAAAAAAAAAAAACGCCACCCAAAACGATGTTGCGTTGTTTTTAAAAACACACACAGGGCAATAATACGTAACTTGCGTGGAATGATGTTAAGGAATATGCGTGTGTGCATGTGTGTGACGCAGAGAGAAGCGACTCCTTTATTTTTCCGCCGTATTTTTATTCGAGTAAAAGCCGCCACTGACTGGTGAAAAGCACAAAGCTTTAAGTTCACAAAGCCACAAAGGGAATCTGAAAAACCAACACTGCTAGTTTGCTTCTCCGGCAGCTAAACGTGTGATCTGGATTAATTAGTCGATTTATTCTCTGCTAAGACGTCTGATGAAAACGTGCAATCAATCAAGAGTTTTTCGTGAAATTGTATAAATTTTACCATTCATCAGATTTCTCTCTGAAACAATGTTGTAAAACTGTACCGTGTAAAAGTACCTGTGAATGTCCGTTTTGAGGTTTTTGTCTTGTTGAAGAACCTTATATTATTTGCTGTTTACTGCAATAATGCATCCATCTCAGAAACTAAAGCACATATCTTTCTGAAATGTAAAAAAAAAAAAACACACAAAAAAATATATGAAGAGTAATAATAACAAATGAATAACCAAGACGGAAGATTATAAGAGAGTAGATAATATGTCTAGTCAAACAAAATATTGTTTTGTATATTTCTAACTGTTTGGGCCTAATGTAAAATATTCTATGTAAAGAAAAAATATATATATAATAAATGTCTTTAGATGGTGTTATAAAAAAGCATGATTGCAATATGTTATATGATACAAAAAAATAAAGTATTATAGATTATAACATGCGCTTCATGTCTTGTGTTCAATAATTGATGCATGCAAAAGAGAATTAAGGAGAAAGTGCAGTTCAAATGCAGACTCATGAAAAGAACAAATCATTTTATTATGAATATCCAAACAATCTTGAATCAATATTTAATTCCATCAGTGGCATTAGAAAACCAAACTTCCCAGCAGGCAGACAACGCCATAAGAGGTTGATATTAGGTTAGATTTAGGTTTTGATGTCAGATGACCAAAATTCAATAGCCAGCGTCTGAAGACAACGTTATTTTGACGTCCAATAATGATATTTGGTTGATTTTAGGTTGTTAGAAAGTGACCAAAATCCAATGTCGAGCCAACATCTTAAACCTGGAGTGTCCAAACTCTGTCCTTAAGAGTTTATCTCCAACTTGCCTCAACACACCTGCCAGGAAGTTTCTAGTATATCTAGTAAGAGCTTAGCTGGTTCAGGTGTGTTTGATTAGGGTTGGAGCTAAACTCTCCTGGACACCAGCCCTCCAGGACCGAGTTTGGACACCCATGTATTAAACCAACGTCATATTGGTGTATAAAACATTTATTCGTCTGGTATGGCAACCAAAATCGAATGTCTTATAGACGTCAAAGTGGTAACATCCACACAATGTCAAGCTGAAACATCATTAGACGTTGTTATTTGGTTGATTTTAGGTTGTGTTGGAAAGTGAACAAAATCCAACATCGAGCCAACATCTTAAACCAGGGGTGTCTAAACACGGTCCTGGAGGGTCGATGTCCTGGAGAGTTTATATTCAACTGCCTCAACACACCTGTCAGGAAGTTTCTAGTATATCTAGTAAGAGCTTGATTAGCTTGTTCAGGTGTGTTTGATTAAGTTTGGAGCTAAAGTCTCCTGGCAACCGGCCCTCCGGGACCGAGTTTGGACACCCATGTCTTAAACTTGCATCATATTTATGTCAAAAACATTTATTCGTCAGGTATGGCAACCAAAATCGAATGTCTTATAGATGTCAAAGTGGTAACATCCACACAATGTCAAGCTGAAACATCATTAGACGTTGTTATTTGGTTGTGTTGGAAAGTGATCAAAATTCAACGTCAAGCCAACATCATATTGACGTCAGATACATTTATTCGTCAGGTATGCCAACCAAAATCTAACGTCTGATAGACGTCATAGTGGTAACGTCCACACAACATTGCGCTGTAACATCATTGAACGTTGATATTTGGTTGTTTTTAGGTTGTGTTGGAAAGTGCCCAAAATCGGAGACATGACAGATGTTGGATTTTGGTCACTTTCCAACGCAACCTTAAAACAACCCAATAGCAACGTCTAATGATGTTACAGCTTGACTTTGTGCGGACATTACCACTGTGACACGAACGTCAGTCTGATGTTGAGTTCTGACCTCAGTTGGAGTTTCATTTCCACCCAAAATGAAACGTCCAACGACGTTGGGGTACAACGTCAATCTAACATCATGTTGACGTCCTGTGCATGCTGTGTTAGTTCAATAGAAAAAAACTAGATTATCTTATTCTGACCCATAGATCTGGTTGTTTTTTCTAGTAAGCAATAACCAACACAATCTCATGGCAATTCGTAACTTTTTCATTTAGTGGCTAATTCGTACAAATTCGTACGATCTAATTCGTACATTTTAGTACGATTTGCGTATCCCCCAATGACGGTTGGGTTTAGGGGTGGGGTTAGGTGCCACGCCTCCTTTTTAAAATCGTACATTTTCTTACGACTGAACTCGTACGAATTCGTACGAATTAGCCACCAAACTGCCAAAACGTAAAATACTTACGTTTTCTCGTGAGATCAGGCTGGCAATAACACATTTAGTTTAAATAAACTGTTTATCATGATATTGTTTTTTTTAAATATGTGAATTAAAATGGAAGCTAATTTGTATTCTATATAAAGATGATTAAGACTCAAACATATCATTGTTAAAACACAACATTTCTATTTTAATCGCTGTCACATTACTGTAGGATATGATGTACGGCAGATAAGACAATGCAAAACCACATTCTGCACACATTACAAACTCCAGCTGCAGAGTACGAGGATACAGGTACTGGACTGGCCTGCCTGCAGTCCTGACCCGTTTCCAATAGAGAATGTGTGGTGCATTTTGAAGCACAATGTAGACCCCGTACTGTTGCACACCTTAAGACTTGTTTGCAGGAAGAATGGGACAGAACTACACCTGAAACACTTCATCACTTGGTGTCTAAACATCATTTAAGTGTCGAAAAAAGGAATAGCAACATTACAAAGTGGTAAATAAGTGTTTACATGTTTATTAAGAAAAAAACACACTTTACAAACCACGAGGAACACATTAATACTGCTTGTTGTATTGTCTGCTATGAAATAGGTCAAAGTCAATTTAGAAATCACTACTTTCTTTTTTAAATTTGCATTTTCGATACTGTCCCAATGTTTTCCTGATTTGAGGTTGTATATAAAGAGGATTAAGAAGGAAGAAATCTTAATCTAAATACACACCATGTCTATTTTAAGTGCTGTAACGTTACTGTATGATGTACAGCACACATAATGGTTTCCTGTGACCTGCTCATGGATTAATAGATGCCCTGATGGATTCTGTCCAGAGACTTTAATTAATCTCCTTCAGCAATTAACTCTTTAATAGTCCCAGTGGAGCTCCGGTATTAAACTACATCTGAGTGTCAAGTGGAGCAAAAAACACTTTCATTTAAGTAACAATTCACACACTATTAACTACCGTCAGCTATTAAGAGATGAACTCTTTATTAGCGCTTATAAAGAATGATCTCACTCTGCATTCCTCATCCTGCACTGTAAAAAATCCATGGTTGTCTTAAATTTAAGCTGAATCAATTTAACCTTATGAGTCTATTAAACTTATATTATGTTAAACTGACTTAAAATAGTTTGTGTAACTTACACAATTCAGTTAAAACATGATTAACTTAGTTTAACAAGTTACAATGAACTAAAAACATATGTTGTCATGACTAATTGATCATTTAATTTTGAATGAACCTCCCACCTAAACCCAACTAACAAGCAGCTAATTATTGATTTATTTATTGAATAGTCCTAGTAATGGTTTGTTAATAGCAATAATTGTGCATTAAAATAAAGTGTGACCACAAACACATGATTTATTTTTCAGGGAAGCTATTTAACAGTAATATACTCACAAATGCAAACACTTTTATTCAAGCAAAGCATTGCTTCATGATCATTTCATTCACTTAAGTAAATGTATCGTACTTTCCAAATGACTATATAGCAATATTTTAGGGGCTGATTACGGT